TTTGCAACATCCACGGCATGACCTTCACCAGCTTCGAGTCCAAGTCCGAGGCTTTGAGGCACTTGAACCGGACCACCGCTTGCGGGTCCCGAATCAGCTCTACCAGCTCCTCCAACATGCTTTGCATGCTGGTCATCGAAATGGGAGTTCGATCGGTGGGCTGCATGCGCTTCTCCTTGGCATTCCAGGTCAGGAAGTTCCAACCCCCATGTTCGGTAAGGATCAGAGGCTTCACTGCTTCTTGCCAGATTTCTGAGGTCGTGGAGGCCTGGGCAATCTTGAGCATCCTGTCCAACAAGGTCTGTGCAATCAGCATCACCAGACACAGGCGGAGCGATTGGGTGGTCTCGCGCTTTTCCATCAGCTGTTTCCACTGTTGTGTGGCTTGCTGGATCTGCGGGAGGATACTGGCCGCCCCGGTTGAAAGAACAGGATGAACGTGTCCTGCGCTGCCAGGGCCTGAAGTTGGCTTTCGTGCCTCAAGACCAGAGTGGTCAGAAGTTGAACCACCCTTGGGAGCTGGTCGTAAGAATCGTTCGATTCCCTTTCGAGCTCGTGTTTCGGTCTTTTCAGAGGTTGGACCGGTCTTGATTCGATCAGACCCCCGAAGGTGTCGGAGATCTGCCCCATCAGGTCGTCCACTGACAGGTCGAGCTGTGGCATGGCACGCGGGCTTCACAGCAATGTTCAGCGTAAGTGGACACGTCTCCACAACCCCTTCTGTGAGCCAGCAGTGATTGCAGCACCATGGAGTGGGGCTCACACAATTGTCATACAGCTCCAGGGCTGGTTGGATCAGTTGATCATGATGAGTACGGTGGTGCTCTTCCATGAGATGTGGTGCACATTCAATCTTGCAAACACTGCAGTGGCTGCTGAGCCAGGTACTCCATTCCGGCTGCCAGAACATTTGAGCTCGCTCTGCAATGCTGGGCTCCTGAGCTTCCGAGGATAGGGCAAGGGAAGGCTCTTGCTGTGATTGTAGCGCAGTATGAAGGATGGCCAATTGTGTATATACCATACATCGATGACCACGCTTGGTGTATGCATTGCCACAAAGACAAGCACGGCCGCTAGCGATTGCAGCATTGACATATCTGTCCTCCAGGGGCTTGGCCATATGTAAAAGGGCGGCGTGATCTTGAGCAAGATGCTGTGAGATGCCACCTGGCTTCCTGGATTGTCTTCCACAACACACAGCAGGTCCGCAGCGCAGCTTGGAACTCAGGGATGTCACGATGGTGTCAACATCATGCTGCAGTGACATGTTGCGGAGCCTTTGCCACGTGAAGGGAACATGAACTCCAGGTGGACGATCTGGATGGAATGCCTTACAACCATTCTCAATGTGATTCCGGAGGCTGAAGAAAGAAGCAAGAATCTTCATACAGTGACTGCATGTGGGAGTGCCGTCGATCGAGTCTCTGGCAGGCTGAAATTCATACTTCTTGTCAAGCTGATGTCCGGTTCTTTGCCTCTTCACCTCCGGAGGTAGAGGTCGATCCGGGTCAGGTTTGAGCAGCTCCAAACTGGCAATGACATCCTGAAGAAGATCATTCGTGTATTGTTTCCGTTCCAGAAGCCGGAGTAATGTTGCCATTGCTGTTGTATGTAAGATTCCAACCATTGCGCCAGCGGACGTGCCAAGTGCTTGACCACCACTCCAGGTAAAGTACCTGGAGCCACAGCTTTGTGATCAAATGAGCAGGTGCCCACTGTGTAGGCTCAGGACCATGGCCGTGTCCCATGATGATGGTGAAGTGCTCGATGAGAATCTTCAGTTCCTGAGCAGGCGAGTGAAGTGCTCCTTGATCAGTTCGAAACCTGATACAACGTCTTGCCTGCTTGGGTGTCAAAGCACGAACTGCTTCATATAGACCCCTGGAGTCATGTTGTGCTGCAGCCCTGGCCGCATTGTCTGTGATCTGTCGAACTCTATTCCGCTTCTTCTGCTTACAAAGAGATTGGAGTTGAGTGCGCAATTTGTTGGAAACAGACCATTCAATGTGACCAAGCCCGCAGTATGCCTTGAAGATCCGGACGTTGTGTTCTGGCCCAGTGAAGGTGTCTCCACTTCCTGGCCACGAGGGATCGAGTCTCATGTTGCATCCATAGCGGTAGTGGTGACTGGGTGATTGATGTCACAGCCTGACTACATTTCAAGATCTTGTTCACCAGCTCGGTCGGATGTGAGGCATCCTGTATCAAACCCGTAGCCTGTCCAACGAATGCTGTCCATTCTGAAGTCTGATCTTGAGAGGCTCGAATGAAATTCTTTGAATGTTTACTCATCGATGGAGCAATCGACTGCCGCTTGTTGGCCTGATACCAAATCTTCCAATCAGCAGGAAAGGAGCCCACCAAGGGACGATGGTCAGGATACGCACGCGCCTGCACAAGCGGACAGGTCGATGGACACCTCGTGTGTTTGGACGCGGCATCACTCTGCACCTTTCGCATAAGCAGGAAATCGATGGTCGAGGAACCCCTTGGCCCGCAATAGCTGGGTGTGGAATCATGTTTTCGTGTATTGGACAGTTGAAATTCTTCAAGGATGTCCTGTAAGCATGAGGCATCTGGAAAGCCAGGTTGAAGACCATGACCAACAGTGGTGTTAAAGTCACCTCCAATCACAAGCGTGTGCCGTGCAGGAATACGTCTTAACAAGGAAGTGAGTTTCGTCCACAGTTCTTGTATGAGTTTCACAGGGTGAGGTCTGTTGACAGTTGGCCCCACCGGAAACTGGTATAAGTTGACCAGGTCTATGCAGTGATCTTTGAAGTGGCAGCGGACGTGAAGGAGTCGTCCATGATGCAGATCCTGATAGCTCAAGGCATCCATAGTGCAGAACCCTGTACGAACCAATATCAATAACCCTCCACCGTCCTTCTGAAGTTGAGGGGAAGGGATTATGCTGTAGCCATATGAACTCCAAGGCTCACCGATCGACCAGTGCGTGCTTTGGATGAAGGCCACGTCAAACCTTTGCAAGGCAACCCATGGGAGCATCTCAGCATACGTTGGGGTGGTCAAAGCCATTGCCTTCCAGCAAAAGACAGTGAACCGCTTGCGAGGTCGTTTGGATGATGTCATGGAATCACTCGCAACAGCAGGCTTCGTCGGTTGAGAACTTGTTAAGGAGGAAATAATCAGCTGCCCTCTATACATAGCAAATCCGTGCAAGGCAAGCCGGCGATAACCACTGGGCTGGTTGCCAACCCTTCCCTTTCCCACCATTCCAAACTTGCCAATCCATGCTGCGGTGCAAAATGGTGGGCCCGGAATTGGGACCGGGCAGCGTCAAGCCAGCCTCAAACTTGGCTAGGATCACGGTCAGCAGGCCAACCAGCCAGAGCAGGGCGCGGGGCCCGGACCCCAGAGGATGCTGCCACCGGGCGCAGCTCATCTCGACCACATTGCACGAGTGCGGTGTCGACCGGCCGCTTGACGCTGAAAGGCTGATAGATAGATAGATAGATAGGTCGAGCGATCCATTGATAGATAGAGAGAGGGACTGATGGACAGATAGTTAGACGCATAAGTAGATAGATATATGGAAAGTGGTTAGAACAGTTGGGAAAGTAGCTGTGTTGAAAGCTGGGTGTGGTTGAAGTGGCCCTCCGCCTCCACCATTGTTGGGTTTAGAAGGTCCTGTGTCATCAGACATGTTCATGTTAACATCGAAGCCAAACAGCTAAAGCCTTGAAAACCTCTTTGTAGCGTTGGCACACTGCCGTCGCGGCTCAACTCCTGAAGTCGAACAAACGCTTGACGGTCTGCCCTGAGCAACTGTGTCAACGTGGGTGCCTTGAAGTTTGGAGGCGGGGCCTGGCGCATCAAGTTGAAGAGGTATTGAATCCATTTCTGGAAGATGTGGAAATCAACCAAACCCATTGCATCAAAGGCAAGGCTCCGGCGCGTCATGGCCTCCAACATGTCCAGTTCGGTGCCCGTTGAGCACTGCTGCTCTGCGATCGAGTCTTTGACCGTGATCCCGGTGCCACTGGTGTCCAACTTCAACTCTTTGGGTGGCTTGGCTGAAGTGATCTCTTGCATCCTGGTGATGCACTTCGATGGTGCCAGGTACTTCAAGGTGTCAGCCTCCATCATCCCATTCAGCTGGTCGTAGACCTGGTAGGCCACCTCCATGTTCCCTTCCATTGACAATCCTCGGAGCCTCACACGTTGATTCGCGATGCGTGAGCTCCGTTCCGCTGGTGGCATTTTCCTCAAGGTTGGATCTGCATTCGGGTCGGCTTGAGATCTGGCCAAGGCAACTACGGCAGTTTGTGCTTCGAAGACCAACCTCCGCATTGTTGCAAGGTCCCCAACCGAAATGCTGCCACCAGGGGCACTTGCCGTCATCAGGTTGCGAACGTCCTGCTCGGTGACTGGCGTCTCAGGCTGACCGCAACTGAAGGCCAACCGCCCCAGCGTTGTGACTCCGGCATGCTTCAAAGCTTGGGTCCATCCATCTTCCAGCCCCAAGTTCGCGGCCTGCTTTTCAAACGCTGCAGTGCTCTCCATGAGGTTGGTAGCTGCCGCCATGATCGACGAAAGGTGTGCGAGCTTCAAAAATAAGAAACATTGTCACTCATGGAACACACATGAAGCATACCTAGAACATGTCGTTGAATCCACGCATACTTGGAATCACAGAGCCCTCAAGGCGGGATCGTTGAATGAGCCCTCATGGCCACGATCAACAAAGAGGAAATTGACAAAACTCAAAAGCCCTCATGGCGCGAATCGAACCGAACGGGGCTCCTCAAGAGCGTTCGCCCTCATGGCCCAAGCTACATCAAACACAAAACACAGCGACCTCATGTCAAAAGAAACTGGACCTCATGTCACCTGAACATGCGTCATGCTTGCCGTTCTAGTGACCTCATGTCGAATGCGGCGACAACTCAGCGAAACGCTTCACTGATGCAAGTTCATTCACCTCAAACTCAACTCTCTACATTTTGAGTTGCTTTCTTATGTAGAGCATGCTGCCTTCAGATACGCCGACGCTTGCTGGCGTTGACTACGTCTATCACCGACTTATTGTCAGCATCTTTGAAACACTTGCTGCACTTGGGCCAACTGAAAATCGACCCCTCTGCCAGGACGGTGAAACCGCTGCCATGAAGTCCACATGACGTAACAGGCTGCAAATGGTTCTTCGGGTCAGGGTTCTGCGTGCGCAGCATGCGGCTCCTCTTGTTTTGCATCAAAGGCCCTTTCACCTCGGGCTCCAAGCCGCTCTCAATGACGCTGGCCTTTTCTTTGCGCAGCTCTTCTTCATTGTCGGAGCTTGCGCTCGAACCTTCACTCTCACTGGCACTTTCCACGAAGCCTTCGCCATCTTCGTCTCCGCCATCTCGAGCACCTTCCTTTGGCTCTTCGTTGTGCTCTTCGACGTTGCCAAACTGTTCAGGCTCTCCGAAGGGGTTGTTCGGGTCGAAGCCGGTGTCGGCAGAGACATCCTTTCCGCCCTCGAGAACCGATGGACTTCCAATGTAATCTGCCTCAGCGTCATCAGGTGCATGTGGCTCGAACAACGGTGCCTGTTTCCGCACCATCCACCCAGAGCGCGTCCCGTCTGGTACGAAGTTCCCAAGCTTGATGTTGTAGACCATGGCGCAAAGCTCTCGCATGGGCTGGCTCAACATGTCGCGACTGTAGCACGCCACACTATTCTCTTTCAAAGAGTGATGCCCCAACAAACCTCGTACCGGCTCGCTCAAGCCGTATCGCGCTGCCCAAACAAGAAGGGTGCTCTTCAGGGAGTGAGTTGTTGTGGCGGCTTGGTCACCATCTTTGTATCCCAGGTACGCATTGATCATGTTCGTTCCCTCACTTGTTGACACGGGCCTTTTGGTGAAGCCACCGTCAACCGTAGGAGCTCTGCAGATTGGGCCGAAAGGCGCTCCCAGGTCGAGCAACCCCAGTTCTTCCAGAACGACTTTCCACTTAAGGCCCCAACTGCCACTGCCAATGCCATTCACCAAGGCCACATACGGCATGTACATTGCTTTCCTTTCTGCAGTGGTCGAAGTTTTGTGGATTCTGGTTCTGGCTTCCACGAATCCGAAGGGGCCATCGTTTGTGTCTATCACATCGAAGAAGAAGTGGTGAATGTTGGCCATGTCGCTCCATCTCGAACGAGAGTAGATGGCATAGAGGATGCACCCGATGAAGTACTTGTTTCTGACTGTGTCCAGCATGACTTCAAGCCTCAACACCTCTGCCACTGTCAACGGCCTTGCTTGCTCAGTCGGGTCCCTAGTCGCCAAGACTCTGCTCACTTTCCCTGTCAACATTGGACCCAGCACAGTTTCGATGTTGAACTCTGTCCCAATGATGTACTTGAAGAACTTCAAAGCATGGATGAGGTTCTTGCCGATGAACTTGCTACGCTTCTCATCCTCCTTGCTCTCCAAGTATATAGTCGAGAAGGTTCCGCTCCTTGATGGGCCACCACCGCAAGTCATTCTTTTCGCACCACTTCACGAAGAGGATCAAGTCTCGAGCCCTCTTCAACACGGTGGAGGGTGACCGCACTCCGCACGCATCTCTGATGCACAGCAAAGCACCATCCCTGTCCATGGACTGCAGCTTCTCCTGAACGTAGCGACCAACTGACGATTCGAAGTTGCAGTCCTCAAGAACGATCAACCAGCTTGCCAAAGCTTTAGTCCAAGTAAGATCTAGCGTTGCTGCATAATCTCTGTCACACATCGCTTTGATGTGCTTTGCATACAGCGGCAAGTCTCCAGGCAATGATGATGTGACACCTGTGACCTCAACTTGCAGTCTTGCGTCATCTGACGATCCAGGGGTCGCTCCAGCAGGATATGCGACTAGGTCTTCAAGTGTGGGCAAGTTGTCCGACTTTGCTTCTCCAAAGATCTCCTTGAAGATGCCCTGCTCCCATGGCAAGGCAGGCATGCCTGCGCCAATCGATGCCAAGCTCTGCTCGAAGATTGTCCTCTCATAGTTCGCGCGCTCCTTCTCAGTGAAAACCGGACCTTTGTCCAGCACCTGTTGTCCATGTGCCTGCCCATCGCCAAGCAAGCTGCCAACTTCAAAGCTCATATCAAAAGGAGCCTCGTCGGCTACCAGCGTTGGCTCTTCTTGTGGCTGGCCATCACCGAACAAGATGCCAGCTTCGAGATCTGTTCCATGAGGTACCTCTTCGTCCACCACGGCAGGCATGGCCTCAAGCCGCGATGAGAGCCCAGGTTCGTCCATATCCACCATGGCTCCCCCCGCTGCCCAAAAGCAACACGCGCAAACTAAAAGAGGTCCCACCCACCTCTCCCTTGAACAGAGACTACGTGTCATGAACATATTCCGAATACAAGCTTCCGAGGAACGCAATGAAACATCTTCGAATTGAATCAAGTTTGTTTCACTCAGCTGAAACAAATACGTTTCGATTATATAAATAAGTTCTTTGTCAACTTCGTCAACTGCATTCAAAAAACATAAATTCTATTTCATCTTGGTTAAACTCAGTTTGAAACCAAGACAGTTGAAAGCTGCTCACAGCAAACGCACCTTTTTTTGACTGACATTGGGGAATGTCAAGTCTCTGTTGGGGGATAAAGTTCTGTCATGACCATCGCTGATTGCGATACAACTGATCGTACATATGCTCGAGGCTTTGTTGCAAAGCCACCAATGTCACCTGACATTCATGATCAAGATCAATTAGAAATTGACAGTGCGTCGGAGGGACAAGATTCATTCACAGAGGAAATGTTGTCAGTGATTTCATCGAAGGCATAGATGCAGCAGCGCACTTGTTCTCGAAATGCAATGAGGCGCTGATATCGTTGAAGATGAGCGAGAAACTCTGTCATCTTGGGTGGTGGGCGGGCCAAACAAGTAGCGACGAGACTAAACGAAGTCCCACCCTCCACTACCTCTGACTTGTAAAAGGGGTAAACGACAAATTGAATTCAAGTTGTTTCAGACACCGTCAGAAACAATACACTTCACTGAAATAAGTTCTTTGTTAACTGTGTCAACTGCATGCATTATTTCATCTTTGTTAAATTCAATTTGAAACCAAGACAGTTGAAAGCTCCTCACAGCAAACGCACCTTTCTTTAACTGACATTGGGGAATGTCAAGTCTCTGTTGCTTGCCTCCCTTGCCACACTTCCCCCTTTCTTTACGAGCGAGGGGGGCAGCATCGAGAGTCCCTCGCCTTATCGAGGATGGCTTGAAAGTCAGGCGCTGGAGCCCTCAAGGCTTTGGCCAGCTCTTGCATACCATGGAAACACTGATCCATTCTGTTCTCATAGGCAATCTGATGAACAATGTCGGAGAGGACAGGGTTGGCGGCATATCCCTTGGAACGTTTGGTGGCCTTTGTCAGCGTTTCTCATCATGAGTTACTTGACGGCCATGGACGATGCAGGCAAAAGCAAAAACATTGGAAAGAATCTTGTGCGTAGCATCAAGTGCTTCAAGTTCATCCTAGGGGGATACTTTGAGATTGAGGTTGTCCTTGGACCGGTCATTGTTGGATGTTTGAGTCGCGTTCTGGCAACAAGAGACCCCACAAGTCAAGCAAGAGCATTGACAGTTGCTGAAGTGCAGTCACTGGAGTCTTTATTGACTACGCTCACCAACAAGTATGACAGGTACTTTGTTGGGCGCTTGCTGTTCTGCTTGTACTCCAGGTCAAGATGGAGCGACATGTCCAACATCCAGAAGTTCTACTTCGATGTCATCGAAACCGAGGACGGCCCCTTTGGTTTCGTAGAAGCGTTCACTCGCATCCATAAGACGTCAAACACGGCTGAGAAGAAGGCAATGTACATGCAATCCGTAGCCCCCCGTTGAGGGAGTGGGCGACTCATGCTGGGCTTTAACTTGGAAGAAGGTGTTGGAGGAACTCAAGCTGCTAGAGGGTCGAGAACCTTGTGGACCCATCTGTCGAGCTCCGAACGCAGATGGCAGTCGACAATTACTGTGAGAGCCAGGTCGACAACGCCGTGACTGTGGTGAACACATGCACAGTGGATGGAGTCGATACCATCGCAGCGATGGCCATTGAGTACATCAAGCTTAAGAAGCTCAAAGGCAGTGACACTGCACCGGTGGGGCGCAGCTTTGACCTCAAAAGTGCCTATTGGCAGCTGGCGGTATCAGACAGTACTCCCTCCCCTTTGGAACCAAGGCCAGTGTGGTGGCCTTCCGCGTTGCGTCGCGTTACTTCGACGACTATGACTATGCGTGCGTACTCTGGGAGTATGACCGAACAGGAGACAAGGCAGATGTCATGAGCGAGACTGTTCAAGCACTGGGCGTGATCATTGACCTCAGCAGTACGAGGACCATGTTCTGCGAGTGGCGAACACAGAGAAGAGGAGACAACACATCAGCGAGCAGATCTCTGCGGTTCTTGAAGTGCGGTCCATGACCTCACATGAAGCCGCATCACTCAAAGGACGACTAGGGTTTGCTGAAGGGCAACTATTTGGCCGAGCAACCAGGCGCTTGATCTATGAGCTGGGAGCGCATGCACTGTATCCAACCTCGAGCCATTGATGCTGAGGTCGGCGAGGTTTTCTTCATCTTCACAGACGCTATCTTTGCGGGTGAAGCCCGAGAAGGAGGCATTGGTGCTGTGCTGCTGGACCGATCCGGCTGCGTTCAAAGTGGGGTTCTGCCAATCCTTCATGGCTGAGGAGCAAGAGCAGGCGATAGGGGAGCTTGAAGCCTTTGCGGTCTTAGAAGCTCTGGTGTTGTGGATGGACTTGATCAAGTCCCGACATCTGGTATCTGATAATGAAGGGGCGCGCTTTCTCATTCTTCGTGCTGTGGAGTCCACTTGATGAATGCTTGCAGGTCGCGAGCACGCTTCAACACTGTTGCGGGCGATCTTACTCCGCCAACTTTCGTAGCACGTGTTCACCAACACGCGACTCAAATCGACTGCTCTCCAGGATTGTCAGCCAACTGGCCAGTGCTCTTGTCCAAATGAGGTTCTAAGCCTTGGGCTCACGGTCGCACAGGGCGCGGACATGCTTGGCAAACAATGGCAAAATAGGTACACCAGCTACAGCACCATCCTCAGCAACCTCAGCCTTCTCCTCATCTGGTTCAGCTGTGGCCAGTGGTGCGGGTGCAGGTGCGACATTCAATGTGTCAGGCAGGCCATTGCTTACCTCAGGTGCAAAGATCTGTGCAAATACTCCCTGCTCCCAAGGCAAGAGTGGAAGACCAATGCCCAGGTTCGAACATGTCATGTTGAACATCGTCCTCTCGAATTCAGAAGCCTCAGCACGGGTGAACCTGGGAGATGCCACATCGAAGGCACCAAAAAAGTCCGTGCGAAACTCTGAACCCACAGGCTCTTCTTCCAATTCATCAATTCATCGCCAGGTCCTCCACCATCAGAATCGACCATCACGGGACCATCATCCATTGCGCCCCCGCTGCCCAAACAAGTAGCGACGAGACTATACGAAGTCCCACCCTCCACTACCCGCTCTACCCTTGACTTGTAAAAGGGGCTAACGACAAATTGAATTCAAGTTGTTTCAGACACCGTCAGAAACAATACACTCCACTGAAGTAGTTTCTTTGTTAACTTCGTCAACTGCATGCAAAATGGCCCTCCCTCAGTTGCCCTACTGCCATAAAAGAAGGGACGCGTGTCCAACCCGACTTCCCTTGCACCCCACATCGAAACAGCGGCTGGCCGCAAGTAGCCAGCTGTGAGGATGAACTCCCGCCTTTTTGTGGGGTTGGGACACCTTTTCTTGCTGACAGGCTGTTGTCCTAAGGGCGCCGGGGGCTGTGCCAAGATATCAATGCTCCACGCTAGTTACGTGCAAATGCTCTTCCATCACGGCGGGTCTTCGCAAATTGAAGAATGGCCTAGCCGCATGCAGCAGCACTGCGGTAGATTTGTTGGTGATCATCGGCCACTCGTCTTTGCGCATTCCCAAGCAGTGAGGTCGACATCCCAATGACTGCACGATAGGTGTGGCTCACGAGCAGGGGAACAGGCGTGTGGGCCACATACAATGGCAAAATTCCTTAGTAGGCCTCAGCCAAATGCCTAGTACGGTACTTATATTGTTCCTTCACCCACGAGACTCAAAGAGTTGCAAGTGCGTCATGTCCAGGGCCAGCCGCAGAGCCAGTTCATGTTTGGGCGTCAGGAAATTGCTATTGGGAACCCATGTCTTTATGGCCCACCAGCATAAAGATGCTCCACTCCAGCCCATCACGTCCTGCCCCCCCCTTGATGGTGTCCAATCTGCTTGCCCAGGTCTGTCTCAAAGTCCGGCGGCATCGTGGGTGCCAAAGAGCTCTGTGTGACGCCCTTGGTTTTCCCCCGCGGGGTGGGTTTGGATATATTGCTGCACGCGGCCCCGTGGCGCCCGTGGTTGCTTGTAGCATCGGTGCCCGAAACCCAACCTCCCAACCTTTTGCACAGCTTCATAACTCGGCGGAATCTCATGAAATATTGATCTCGATGGCCTGTGAGGCATGAGGATCCAGAACCGATGTCTGGTTCAGGTGGTGGACAAGGAAATGTTTGGACTTGGCGGTGCTCGAGCATGTGGTTGTGATGCATGCGTGTATGCATGTATGGATGCATGCATGCATGCCTGTATGCAAGTAAGCACGCACGGATATGCATCTATGCACAATGCCAATAAACACGTACGTACGCGTGCATGCATGTCTGCACACACCGGTAAAGCAAGCCTGTGAAGACTCAATGAAACCGCACTTCAAGTCCCAAGCTCTGCGAACAATTTGATCGGCCTCAGTTCGATATGTGCTACCACACCCACCCAAACCAATACAACAGTCATTCACTTTCCTTGAAAAAATGCCACACTAGCTGGGCGCAAGCGCGGGGTTTGCGGCGCAGATCTTTGCGGACCCTGATTTGCAGCTTTAGGTGCGCACCAACAAAAAGGAAAATCAGGAACCGCTCCAGAAATGGTCATGCAGCCCGAAAACAAGGCAATGGTCCAACCACTCAACGAAAGCACTGAAACAAGGATTGCATTGTGTTATTCCGTGGTTGTTTTTGGAAACCTGACTGCTGGGCAAGGATGCGATGATAGCGGTACAGCTGTGAACTGTGAACAAAGTCGTCAACCAAGCGCTAGCTGCATGGAGAGGAGTGCCTCAAGGAGTCGCTGCACAGCCCCTGTGATGAGCCCTGCCAGCCAGCACTGCTGACAATCACACGCCAATTCATTTTGTTCATGCGTTTT